ATACATTTGAAAATGTAGATGAAATGTATATTGAAAACACTACAAGTGATCTAGGAAGAAATATAAGGTCATAGTAGTCATAAATCTAAAAAAAAATTGAAAGTTACCTAAAAATCTCCATGAGCATGTGCATGTGTGTGTGTGTGTGTGTGTGTGTGTGTGTGTGTGTGTGTTTGGGATTATATAATAATACATTATAACCAAGTGAGACTTATTGTTGAAATTCAAAGTTGATTGAATACACAAAAGATTATCAAATTAAAATGCCACAAAAAGATTTGAAAAGGAAAGTAATTATTTTGATAGATTAAGAAAAAATTCTTTTTAAATGAACATCCATTCACGACAAAAACACTTGGCTAAATTTAGAAGTATAATTTCCTTAACTTGATAAAAGGTATGTACCAAAACCTCTAGAGCTAATGTCCTAATTAACAGTGAAATATTAAAATCTCACTGAGAACTATAAGACAAGGATGTCAATTCTTCCCATTTCTATTCAACATTGTAGTAGAGGTCCAAAAAGAAGAATAAAATAATAAAAGGACGAAAAAAAACATTAATAATGGAAAGACTAGAAACAAATGAAAATGGAAACACAACACACCAAAAAATTGGGGATGTTACAAAAGCAGTTCTTAGAGGGAAGTGTATAGCAATAAATGCATACATTAAGAAAAAAAATGTGGCCAAACCGTATTTGCTTCAGGTCATTTTTTTACCAGATCCCTTACACTCCACTGGGATAGCCATTAGGCTTTCCAAGCTTCCTATTAGTCTTGGGTGTTTCCCAGAGTCCACACCCTCTCCCCAGATTTGTCAGTTTCCACAGATCAGCAATGGATTACCCAACATTTATATATTGTCCCACAATTGGGGTCCACATGGGTATCAGCATCCCATACCAGGTTCTGGAGTGAACTGGTCTAACTTGACTTTTATTCCTACAGTGAATGTGGCCTGATCAAGATTTTCAAAGTTGGTTAGCCCAAATTTCCAAAGGAGGGTGGTTATCCCAACTCCTTAAGAATTTGTTGAACTTCCTTTATGGATTTCTAAGGTCCCACCTTCCCAGGGAGATCCCCCTCACTGGGCCAGGCTTCCCTACTGGCTAGAATAGTCCGGTTTTTTAGGGAGTGAGCTTCTTAAAGCCCCTGAGCCCCGTGCTGGCACAGCTGCAGGGGGTGTGCTGGGTGATGCTCATTTTCTCTGCTTCTGCCCAGAGAACTTCCCTACCGCCATACCCCATAGCTGCACCATCCATGACTCAGTGCTTCCCTGGCTGGGCTTTGGCAGCTCTGTCAACACGCTCAGCTGGGGCGTATTTTCTCATGAACGTTTCCTGAACTGAGGACTGGCGGGCAGGCTGCGGTCGCTATTACTATTGCGTACTTACGCTTTCCTTTGCATTAGCGGTTGCAATGCACAAACTGTCAATCACCACAACATAACCCCAATCCTGCCCGCATTCTCCTCCCTTTCTAGGGATTTTCTTTGCTGTGGTGCACTGTGCACAGTTTTTCAGACAAGTCCATGAAAGCAGCCGGCGTTTTGGTGGCACCCCTGTGCTCACATGGCAGTCCACAAGCCTGTGACATATGGGCCACCCTCTCCCCAGAGAGGCCACCTCAGGATTCCCTGTGGATGCCTCTTTCCCAAGGCCGACTTCTCTGAGCTCCTGGTGGCTCAACAGTTGTTGCCTTGCAACCTCCTTGGAACTTCCCAGATAAAATCTGCAACAGGCCCCTGTATGTGGAGTGAGGGAGAGACCCAAGAAAGAGGCAGGCCACTCCAGGTGGATAGGTGGCAGGTTTGAGAAGCAGAGAACTTACATATGAGGCTTATCTTGGGTGGCTGCAAGATAAGTAGATCTCAGTACCCACTTGCAGAATCTTAAGTTTACACAGAGGCCCTAACTGGGTTCAGTTGTCAGTACAGTCCAGATGGTCTAAACAACATGTTGCTCTCTCAAGGCTCTGTCCTTGGGGCAGCTTCTGGGAGCAGGGAACGGAAGTAGAACCCGCTTTGCAAGGACAGTGGAAGGACTGATGAGCTTCCCATTGCCAGGATTCAGCTCATGGGCCAACCTGTGAACCAGTGGTCTGGTTCTTTTGATGACCTCTCCCAACAAATATATATATTTTGAGATTTATGAATACCTTCTCCTCTAATGATATTTTTTTTAAAGCACAATCTCCTAACTACAGATTTAGAATCCCCTTAAATTTTGTACTCAAGATCAATTTAAATACTAGCAAAATCATACACCGTTTTTAGACTCTCTTTGGTTTCATAAATTAAGGTATTTTTCTGTTTATGTAATTTCTCAAGTTACATTAATAAGAAGCATTTCTCTAAGTTAATCTCCTTCCTGCCCTTTTGGGATTTCACATCCTAAGAATTCAGCTTTCCTTATTAAGGGCTGTTCTCTCCTGTCTCCAAAGGAGGTCTATTATCCTCACATCACTGAGTGCCTACTACTCCCCATAAATTACAAAGCTCATTCATATGTGCCTTGTGTGAGCTCAGAACACATCCTCATCTCCTGTGAAAGCTCTTTTGTCAGAATTGTGTGTCTTTGCCAAGTAGGAAATCCCTGCCATAGGGAGGACGTCAGACCGTGGATCTCTGCTCAAGACCACAGTGAGTACTAAACCTTGGCATCGTCACGTTCTGCAGAATCCCAGAGCTTCCGGCAGCTCAGCCTTAACCGTTTCCTGTGTTGTTTCGGCACCATTGAGCCCTTCCTCTGCCCTGGCAGGATATAGAGGCTTGGAAAGACTTTCTGAGGGGCTAACAGATAGCATTAGAAAATACGAAGTTTGTATGGTGCTCCAGAAGTTACCTAGTCTGCAAAACAACTACCAGGTTATCTTTGGGGCTAATATATGAACTATTTTGCATAGTAGAATCACATTCCATGTCCTGCTGACTTCCAATTGTTTAAAAAATATTAAAAACAATTACTTCTTTTCTGTGAGCTCCAACATGCTCTTTCTCTTAACTGTATCGCACAAGTATCAGGTAAAATATTCAAAAGATAATGGGACAACGTAAAAATACAGGATGTGGGTTTGATACAAGGATGTATAATAATAAATGGAAATTTGGCAAAAATACCAGGCCTTGTACAGTCAAATGGATTACATGTTCCCAAGCTTTCAAGATTACATGTTTCCATTGGGCTGAAATCCTTCATAACTCTCATCTGAAAGTCCAATGCCAAACTAGCTTCACCTCCAAGCCAGTTATTTGTTAAAATTTTCTAAGAATACTTTGGATGATTTTAGTGTTTATCAAACTATATCCTTTAAAAAGGATAATTTACTCATGATTTGGCATTACTGTATTAAGCAAACAGAGCCAGCAAGAAATATCTGGGAACAAAATGTATCTGGCATTCATATGCATCTTCTCTTGTTAGTGACAACGGTAGAGAATGTTCATTTATTTCAGATTTTTTTTCTACATTTAAAAGTAGTAATATCAAGAATAAACCCATAACTAATAAAATTAAATTGCTAATAATTCTAAACATTTCATTTGAAAATTTCAGTACACAATTTTCCAGTCTCTCTCTCCTTGTTTTCTTTTGCTGATAAGCCTACAAAAGCTTCCACCACGACAAAATACTGGTAAATAAGTGTCTTGTAAAATCAACAATTTTAGTAAATGGCAAATATTCTGTGTTTCTGAAGGTCAGGATATAAACTGAGGAAACCAGGATGACACTGAATGGATTATTCATGTCAGAGATGCCTTATGCACTATAAAAGAATTAGAAGTCATTTGAAAGAAAGTGTGAGGGTATGAATTAGGCTAGGGAATACTTATATTAGAATTATCAGATTGCTCACAAAAAGAATGAAGACCGGGGAGAGGCGAGTATGACCAGGTAAGCTTACTGAGGCAGTACTAGTGAAGAAAAGGGTTTCATGAGGACAATACAAATAGAAATCAGCAGGATAAGGAAGCGATTGTTTGTGGAAAGGGGAGGCTGGTTTGTGAGTTTCAGCTTTGGCTGGTTGGGTCCCTGAACAGGATTAAAAAGTATAAGAAAAACAACAGGATCTGAGGACAAATAGTGGGTCCAGTTTTGAACATGCTTCTGATTACTTGATGGCTAGTTCTCCAATATGATAGACAGTAATTCTTGTTTATTAAGTAAAATCAAAAGCATCATGTTATCTTTAGCTAAATCCTGTATTTATTGTCTCTATATGTTCTCGAAGATTCAACCAGAAAGAAATAATAATTTTCCTTGCTTTGTCTCATTATATGACTTTTTAAATTGACAAATTCAGTCATGATCACTTAACTACCTTTCAGGCTATTCTTTTGTGACTGCCTCAGAAGTACCCACAAAGTAGGGTACCAGAGAAAAGCTGATCCCCTTCCAATCTGTAACATGCTTTATGTTGCAAATCTTTACAGTCCAAGATACCAGATTTTTGGAATGCTATATCAAACATGAATGGGCATCTATAACCACATGAAATCGTGCAGTTACAAAGTTTAATCTCTCATAGTTCTGCATTTAAAAAAATATACTTATTGTTAGTTTATTAAAACCCTGAATCAAGCATGACTGAGACAGATATGAAGAAAGCAAACCTGAAGAAAAATTCACCTGATTCTGCAGAATTTCTGTAGAGACAAAGAAAGGTTAAAAAAAACCTCCAAAAAACTAGAATTCCATTTATGTAGTGGTTCCAACCTGTAGTAACTGAGGACAATACAAATAGAGATTTGAGACTCATGCAGAATTTTCCCTGAGTAGTCAACATGGGTAGTTGCTACTTTTAAATTTCCCTTGTACAGCTGAGGCCCTGGAACTTCACTGTAACTTACCTTAATTTACTATAAGACATGGGCTACAGAATTCATTTTGTTGTAGCACCAAACTACACTATGTGGAAATATTTTTAAAACAATGTTTAATGATGATTATGCTCACAGAAAACAACTTTGAAAAACATTTCTCTTTCTCTTAGGAAAATATGTCTGCATCTCTGAAAGGCTCAAATAGCTCCAAATTCCAGGTCTCCGAGTTTATCCTGATGGGGCTCCCAGGCATTCACAGCTGGCAGCACTGGCTCTCCCTGCCCCTGGCTCTGCTCTACCTCTCCACTCTTGGTGCTAATATCCTCATCCTCATCATCATATGCCAGGACCGTGCTCTTCAGCAGCCTATGTTCCATTTTCTAGGTATCCTCTCTGTTGTGGACATGGGCCTGGCCACCACCATTATGCCCAAGATCCTGGCCATCTTCTGGTTTGATGCCAAGATCATTAGCCTCCCCCAGTGTTTCGCTCAGATTTATGCCATTCACTGCTTCGTGGGCATGGAGTCTGGTATCTTCCTCTGCATGGCTTTTGATAGATATGTAGCTATTTGTCACCCTCTTCGCTATCCATCGATTGTCACCAATGCCTTAATCTTTAAAGTTACCCTGTTTATGGTGCTTAGAAATGGCTTGTTTGTCATCCCAGTGCCTGTGCTGGCTGCCCAGCGACACTACTGCTCCAGGAATGAGATTGACCACTGCCTGTGCTCTAACCTTGGGGTCACGAGTCTGGCCTGTGATGACAGGAGGCCAAACAGCATTTGCCAGCTGGTTCTGGCATGGCTTGGAATGGGGAGTGACCTAGGTCTTATCTTGTTGTCCTATACTTTGATTCTGCACTCTGTACTTCAGCTGAATTCACCAGAAGCTGCATCCAAGGCTCTGAGCACTTGCAGCTCCCATCTCATCCTGATCCTCTTCTTCTACACAGTCATCGTAGTGATTTCAGTAACTCACCTGGCAGACACTCAGGCTGCTTTGATTCCAGTTCTGCTCAACGTGCTGCACAACATCATCCCGCCTGCCCTCAACCCAATAGTCTATGCACTTAGGACTAAAGAACTTAGGACAGGTTTCCAAAAGGTGTTTTCTTTGAACTTAGGAAAGAAATAAGGCAGGCACTGGAGACATTCTCCATGACATATATGAACTCAGTTTCTTTGAGAGTGAGTAGCAGAATTTCAGAGTTGATGGAGGAACTGAATGTCTTTGAGATGTCTTTTTCACATTTTAATGTAAACAATTGTGAAACCATCTGAAAAATGAATTCACAGTAGCTCCAAAATATTGGCAGGAGCTAAATATATGTGAGAAAAGGTAGGACTATCAGACAGGTTACAAAACCAGAATTAATGACTTCTCTCTCACCCCTGAAATAAAAATGAATATAAGAACAAACATAAACACACACATACACATATATAACCAATGAAATAAGTGATTGGTACATGATTACATATCATGCTTCTTCACTGATAGCTGTGATGTGGAAGCCACGTGCATCTTGCCTGAACGAGTGTCATTCCAGTAATATGAATGCAAAGACAGGAGTTGAAAACACTTCAGATGAGCAAAGCTCAACTGGACTGTGACGGGGCTCTAGAGTGAATACAGCAAGATGACCAGACTTGGACAAACAGAACCCAAAAGATATAAATAGGTTGATAGATGGATGAGAGAGAGAGAAATCAAGAAATACCAAAGGACCCATTGCTTGCTCATTTGCCTCTGCAAGTTTGTTCGCTGCCTGCACTGTTCTGCACCCTGGAGGTCTGAAGCTCATGCTGTACAACCCAGGCTCCTATGCCTTCCAGCATTCTGTTGGGTTGAGCCAATGGGAGTCATTGGAAGGAGATCAGCAGGCAAAAGGAGAGAGCTCTGGGAGATGTATTCTACTTCCAGCCTGCTTTGACATGAGCGTTCTGACCGGATGCGTCCCTTAAGCACTTGCACGCAGCCTATGTATGTCCTGTGTGCTGCAGCAACAGCTTTGACAGTTCTACCCAGGAGCAATTTTTTCTTTTCTTTCCTCTTCAGGGCAAGAAAGTGATCAAGTCTTTATGATATTGGTGTCCAGGTCCCTAATGTCCATTATTTTTTTTTTGATAGTGATTTTTGTTCTCTTAATCCCACCTACAACTCAGTTCAGAGCAACTTCATTAAATTCTCTTCAGACTCCCATCTGTGTTTCTTGCCAGGACTCTGAATGACAAACCAGCATTCCCCACACAGGTACCGCCTCTACTACAACTGCTCATCGGCTGCTGTGACCACAGCCACACAGGGACACAGGCAGCTGCAGTGGGTGAGGAGATCTCCACATGAACGGAAATAAAGAAATCTAGAAAGCAGATGCAGGATTTTTATCCCAGCAAGAAAATCTCACCCAGAGAAAATTGTCTTCTCTTTTTCATGATCTTAAAACCAAAGCATAGCAGAAATAAGTCTTAGCCTATTAGTGTCATGTATGTCATTATGATCTGGGCTCGTTCTCACTGAGCCCTTGCTGAGAGTGTTTCATTAACTAGCTGGAATATTTTATGTATTATCTCCTGAGAAATGAGGATTACTTTGGGTTGTAGAACCACCAGATGCTAGTAACTCTATTACACATTGTATACTGTCACTCATCTTCCAGAGATATCACCTTCCTTAGATATAAAAGGTACATTCTATCTGTTTGCAGGTATAATGAAAATGTTGTGAAAGATACTCCTTATTAACCTGGCTTTCTACACAAACTGGAACTTATTTATGTTCATTTAAAGGTTAAAGAAGAGAAAGGATACAATGCCCTATGGACTCATAAAATTACTTTCCTTAATGATACACTTCAGGATAAGATAATTTAAGAAAATAATTGTTTGATATTTTCTGTAAAGATACAAGAGGATGGTATTTTTTTAAAATAAGAATAACCATGATAAGGGAGAAGTTCAATGTAACAAAAGAGAAATGACATGTTATTCCAGCAAAGATAACTTACCTGTTATGATCTAACAGAACTGAAATGCAGGAATCTGTGCAAGCATCCTGTACCTTAGACCAACATCAGCCAAAAGTATGTGATTTAATACAAGGACAGAGAGGCTTACCATAGAAGAAAGGGGGAAAGTGAGAGTGGCTTCCTAATTCAGAAATTTGAATTCCATGACTGCATGGGAACCAACTATTTCTTATTCCTTTGAGCTACATGGTCTTTATCTCCTTTGTGTGTGTGTGTGTGTGTGCATGAGAGAGAGAGAGAGAGAAAGACGGAGATGGGGAGAGAGAGAAAACTGACATAATTTTTTCTCTTCATGTAGTTCAGATTTCTCTACCCATCTATTAATGTGGCCAGCTGTGCATTCATATTTTCTGGAGTCTGAAGTCCATATAAATTTCACTTTTTTAAAATAACAAAAATACAAATAAACATTAAGGTTGAATGAGTAAAGGGTTAATGCAATTTTGAAAGCAGACGTAGGTCACAAAATCCTGAAAAAAAATTACATTTTAACTAATTTACTGCCTGGTAAAAATCTATAACAGAATTTAAACAGAAGTTTTTATTCTGATGTAATTTCAAGCTTATATAATAGTTGTAAATCTAGAACAAGAAATTCTGTATACTTTTTACACAGATTCACCAATAGTTTACATTTTGCCCATTTACTTCATCATTTTTCTCTTTCCATTTGTATGTATGTATATTTATAAACTGCTTTTTTTCTGAGCAATTTGAAAGCAAGTTGGTTGTTTACTCTGAAATATTTCAGTGCATATTTTCTAAGAATAAAGACACTGATTTATATAAGCACAAAATAGACAACAAAATCAGGAAAATGGTATTGATACTTTATTATAATCTAATGCACAGTCCATATTTAAATTTTGTCAAGGGTCTTTGGAATGTCCCTTATAGCAATTCTTTCCAGGTTTGGGATCCAGTCCAAGATCAAACACTTCATTTGATTGCCAAATGTTTTCATTTTAATATGGCACATTTACTCATACTTCTTTGATCTTTGTATTTTTTAAGAGTTCAGGGCAGGTATTTTACAAAATGTCCTTCAATCTGGGATCATCTGGTATTTCCCCATAATCAGTAAGTTGGCCTTAATCAGGATGTGCACCTCTCACATAACCCTTCAGGAGAAACTAACATGGGTAGCTCCATCAGTTATGTTTTTAAAAAACTATTGGTATCATCATGATCATCATTTCAGGTTTATAGCTGATCTAATTTTCCCTAGCTTAATATGTAAGTGTAATAAGTCTAAACTTTTGATGAGATTTTATTTTATCCCATCATAATATTCCTTATTTTCTTGCCTTGACAGCAAGTTTTTTAAACCAGAGGCCATGTTTACATATTTCCTAGCCTAGCTTGGAGAGTAGAAAGATATTAATAAACAGGAATTAAGTGGAGAGATAAAACAATACATAAATGAAAGAAGAAATTAAAAAATGAAGCAGTGTGTGAATGAAAGAAATTCTCATCACATCATAGTTAAGATGCTTCTGATCTATTTTTCCACAGGGCAGTGGGAAAAAAGGAAATAGAAGTCTGTGATAGATATTAAATCTTGGTTTACATTAAAAATAACTCATGTTCAGTTTCATTCTCTACCTTCCCATTTATACATGCTAACACACACACATGAGATTAGTCACATATATATGTATCTCTCTCTCTCTCTCTCTCGAGGTTACAATAATGAGATATATATATCTCATTATTTGGGCACAAGTTCTTGCTCTTTTTCCTCCTCCCACAGAGGTTAGCTTGATCCCCATACCAGCATCTGTGTCTCTGAAACATTCCCCTGGGGACATAATATATATTTTCCTTTAAAGGCTCAGTTCAATAGTACAGATATCAAGAAATTAGAGGTTAGTGGCTGCACATGCACATTTATTCTAGAATTGTATTTTTTTTCCAAGGCCCTGAACAGCTGGAGCAGTTGCATTCACTTCACTGTTTTGCTCTCCAGAAACTAAGGTATTTTAGACATACAAAGAGGGGATAGTGACAGGATTTATTTATTTATTTGTAAGCTGTAAGATAAAATGGGGAAGGGTTTTGGATGTATATGAATTGTTTATTATTTTCCAGACATAAATCTTTGATTTCATCCACACGATTTGAAGCCAGAAGTGTGTGGGACAGGATGTTCCTAGAAAGTGTGTTTCCCAAATACAGCATTACAATTCAGTATAATATCATTATGATTGTGAATATCTGTGTTATTTCTCTTTCCAAATAGGAATCCTTACTTCAGCAGTGGTGGAAGTCTGGTGAACTACTCCCATGACAAGGAGAACTGGGAGACTAGTTAAAAGATAGTTGTCGATCATTAGACCAATGGTCAGATTACTTGTGCTTCTTATCTGTCCTCTTATTCCTTAAAATTATAGTCTAAGTCTCCTTGATTATATTTGGAGAGATTGGGTAATGACATTGTTCCATTGATTTTGGGTAGCAAAAACTGCATGGAACAAACAATTCTCATATGAAAAGAAGAACAAGAGTCTAAAGGATTGAAGATGGTCAAATAAAAACCTTTTTTTTTTAACATACAGGGTTTAAGAATGAGGCTAGACAGCAGATGATAATAAAGTTACATTTCATAAGTAATGATAGTCATGAATTGATATTACTGTTTAGTAACCCTGTCTATACACTAGCATAGTATAAGTTAAATATCCTTGCAGAAGAGATTAAGTTCTGATGTATCAAATTATTTTAAATTGGTTTTAAAAATGAAAATTACTTAAATTTGTAGTTAATACTTCAATCTTTAACTTAGATCTTGCAGAGCTTTGCAAATGTATTTAAGATGAGACCTAAATTATTAGCATCAAGTCAATTTTAGTAAAGATACAACTATAAAAAGAAAATTGATGAGTATAAATGAAATTATTGTGTAAGCATAAAGCCAGTTTTAGTGACTAAAGTTATACCTATAAAATATTGATGAATATAAATAAAATGTTTTTCTAAGTATTTAAAAAGTACATACTTCAGAAAGCATATTTTCAATTTTCCATTTAGCAATACTTATGCTTTTCCTAATTTCTCTACCTGCTTCTTACAGATACATAGTTAAAATGCAATAGAGCTAAGGAAACACACTTGGATTAAAAACATAGTGTCTTTTTCTCCAACTCAGGTAATTCTTTGCCTTCAGACAGCGTTAAGACACTGAACTAATACTGTCCACTTTTGTTAGGAGATTCTTTTAACTCCAAAAGCTGGGATATTGCATGGCACCCTGTTATTTACAGTGCATACAGAGGCCAAAGCAGATACTAAACATCATAGTTAAGAGATGGCTCAATATGTTTAAGAGGGATAGAGGAAGAACAGAATAATGATCCTAATTGAGGTCTTAAAATGTGGTAGTAAGGTTTAACATCAATTAATTTAATAAAATTATTAAATTTGTTTTTAATAAATTAAAATATACATATGCAATATTCATAACTATATCTTGGCTAATTCTTACAACCTGAAAGCCATATACCTTATGACTTACAGTTAAGAAAGAGAATGTTCTCCGCACTTCACAAAATTCCTACCTCATGCTACCTTCCAGTTTTCATTCTCTCTCATGGAGGGAAAATATGATCCCATTTCTAGTAGCAAAGATTAGTTGTATTTGATATAAATGGCATCAGACATTGCATACTATTTTGTGTCTAGTTTTTAAAATTAACACTGTGAGATGTATCCATGTTGTGCATGTAGTTGAATGTTTATTCTTGTGGTTATCTAGAATTTCACTGTGGTAAGGTACCAAAATTTATTTATCCATTCTGACATTAATGGATATTTAGGTATTTTCCAGTCTTAGATTGATAATATACTGCTAATGTTGAGTTTTCTGCTATAAATATGTACAAATTTTTCTTGGGAATGGTTGGTCATATGTTCATCATTACAAGATATGCCAAAAAGAAGTTCCAATCTACACTCCTACCAGGAGTGTATGAGAATTCCAGTTGTTTCATATCCTCACCAATACTTGGTGTATTTAGTCTTTTCTATTGTAGCTATCTAGTAGGTATTGCTATGTCATGAGAGGTTCAATTTGCATCTATTTTCCTAATGGCTATAATGGCTACTTACATGTTTATTGGTACTTTTTGCTCCCCTTTGTCAAATTTATAGGAAATCTGTCCTTTCCTGCCTGTTTTTCTTATTAATATTGTAGGAGTACTTCAATATATTTTAGATATGAACTTTTCTGTTGGATATGTGCATTGCAAATAGCTTAGTCTGTGGCTTATTTTCTCATACTTTTAGTAGTGTTTTCAATTAAAAATTTTCATTTTAACTTAACACAAGCTGCTCTTTTTTTTATGGGCAGCATTTTTTGTGTCTTGTTTACAAATCTTTCCCTACTCCAAATATCAAAGAGAATGTGTATTTTTCATTTCACATTTAGCTATAGTATTTTCTAAAATTGTTTTTGTGTATGATGTGTCTTAGGGAACAAGGTGTGTTTCTATTTTCCCCACATATTTCCACTGACCCAGTAATATTTATTGAAAATACCATTCTTCTTCACAATCTGCCATGTTTGCTTTATCAGAAATTAAGTGGCTTAATGTGTGTTTCCGCATTTGATTTCTGGACTCTGTATTTCTTATAATAGTATTTTTATCCATATTTAAAAGGAGGGGTAATTTGCTTTTTAAGGAAGTTGTGTAAATTGCCCACATGGATACCTTCAGGATTTGGAAAGGTGGGGTTAAGATCTTAATGATATATTTTGTTAAGATTTTTGTTGTATTGACCTGATCTTAGAGGAATTGAAAGGCCAAAAAAGCTTCAAATAGATAACATGAATTAAAAAATCAGTTCTAGAATCCAGGTGTTCTAACAAACTGGTGGAATTTCTACCATATTAGTTGACAGTGTTTCTGTGAATGATCAGATATACCATTTCCTATATCTGGTACTAATAGGGTTCTTGAGAAGGTGGTTAATAGGAGCCAGTTTGATTGTTTGGGAAACTCCGTCACAGAGTTCCTTTGATTCTAGTATGTAGAAAGCTTACATCAATTTATTTTTGCTTTGGAGTCTGTAAGGTAAATGATTATCTGTTGTTCTAACCAGCCTGAATTCCCCATTAATTCCTATTTTGCTTACCTGTGAAACAGGAACTACAATATCTCAGAGTTAACCCCTTCCTTCTTTTGCCCTCCCTTCAGAGGAGTGGGGAGGGGAAGTATCCCTGAAGGAGGGCTAGGAAGACTATTGGGACTTCTTTACTGCCTAATGTTTTCCAAGCATGAATTAATTCATGACCCTCTGGATTCTTATGAATTTTTTTATTATTTATTCCCCATTATCAAAGAATTCCCTATTTCCTGATAATTACAAAATCTGTTATGATCTAGCTCCTGGTCAAATTAGCTAGCTTATCACTTGTCCCCTTCACACCAGGGAATTCTTGCAGACTAGATTGTTTGAATTTCTATACTTTTACATGTTGATGCCGCTCTCTGGAATTCCTTTTACAAATGTGTCTCCCTTACAACTGTCTTATTGCAGAATAGATCTCAAACACCTTCTCTTCAACATAGTCCTTCTTGACAATCATCAACCCCTCCTCCAAACACCCCTCACCACCAACGCACACCCACGTTAGGAATCCAGTGCTCATTTAGCATCTTCCACATACTTCTACTTTAGTTCTTGTTACATTTACTGTCATTATTTGTGTGGATCTTGGTCTCCCATTGAACTCTGAGTTCCTTAAAGGATGCACTTGTGTCTTGATTCCTATCTATCACATTGTACATGTTCAATAAATATTTATGAGAAATAAAGAGATTATTGAAAAAACGAGAAGCCATTTTTCCCCCCCAAATACTTAACTTGAAAATGAGGTTTACATGTAAGTACAGGATTTGAGGTTAGTTCATTTAGTTCTTGGGTAAGAAATAAATTTGATGTGTGGTTAGAAGTATTAAAAATAAAATTGCATTGTTTTTGTATCCACTAGAACCCAACTAAAATGAATTCCATTGTTAAAGTTATTAAAAATGTAAACCCAAAAGTTCAGAAAGAATAGGTGAAAAAACAATAAAAATTAGAGTTGCCAACATATTATTAGATGATAAATATTACTGGAAAAACTAGCATAATTGAGGAAATATATGACACTGCCTTTATAAGACAAACTAGTTTTTTGTTTGTTTGGTTTTGTTTTTGCTACAGACACCAGATAATCTCAGAGGGTAATACCTGAGGGTAAAACAGGGACACTGATAGAAAGACAGAATGAAATAAATGACTTATTATTATTGATAGCTTCACCATCCTAAGCAATATGAGTTGCTCACCAGTTATTACTGAAAGTTTATTTTGAGTAGAAGTTTAAAAACATTCTAATAAATGCACATATACCAGGTGTAGGACAAAAATGAAGTGTACTAAAAGTGAGAAGAGTGAATCAAAAATTTTACTGAATTGTGAGATCCCAGGTTCCATTGAATAATAAATGATTTAGTATTTCCAAATGTTTAGCCATCAAAGGTAATTATCAGCCATTAACTAATAATAATAATAAAAATAACCATATATGTTGGGTCATTAATGAGGTGATCAAAGAACTCTAAGATCACATCAATAGGGAAATGTATATAGTTATTAATAAGTAAGTAAGGTGTCCTACCAAAAATCCCTTTAGAGAAGTCACTTGACTATAAATCTGTGAGGATGGGTATCTGTCTTTATAAAAAATTAGTGTAGAATCAGTGTCTGTCATGAGAACTTGGACTCCTCAATAAGAATTTGTTGAAAGAACAAATGAGCAAATTAATCAATACAAAAAAAATAAACCTCCTTCCTGGCATTCAGAAAATTTGGTTGCTTGATCATTAAAATGCACTATTTAAAATGTTTAAATGTGAGAGTGAGAGGGAGATAATAACCATAGTCTTTTCTTTTTCTTTTTTTACTCTAGGAAACTTGACATAAATTTTTCCCACATAAATGTTAAGCCTAATTGGTAATGCTGAATAAATCAGACCTGACCCCATTCTCATTTATTCTTAATGGGGTCCCAGGACTGGAGGACATGCACATCTGGATATCCTTCCCATTCTGCTCCATGTATGTTGTGGCCATGGTAGGGAATTGTGGACTCCTTTACCTCATCCACTATGAGGACGCCCTGCACAGGCCAATGTACTACTTCTTGGCCATGCTTTCCTTTACTGATCTTGTCATGTGCTCTAGTACAATCCCTAAAGCCCTCTGCATCTTCTGGTTTCATCTCAAGGAAATCAGCTTTGATGGCTGTCTGGTCCAGATGTTCCTGGTCCATACCTTCACAGGGATGGAGTCTGGGGTGCTCATGCTTATGGCCCTGGACCGCTACATGGCCATCTGCTACCCTCTGCGTTACTCAACTATCCTCACCAATCCTGTCATTGCAAAAGCTGGGCTCTCCACCTTTCTCAGAGGGATGTTGCTCATCATTCCATTCACTTTCCTCACCAAGCGCCTGCCCTTTTGCAGAGGGAATATAATTCCCCACACCTACTGTGACCACATGTCTGTAGCTAAGTTATCCTGTGGAAATATCAAGGCCAATGTTGTGTATGGCCTGATGGTTGCCCTTCTCATCGGGGGCTTTGACATCCTGTGCATCACAGTCTCCTACACCATGATCCTCCGGGCGGTGGTCAGCCTGTCCTCAGCAGATGCTCGGCAGAAGGCCTTCAGCACCTGCACTGCCCACATCTGTGCCATTGTTTTCTCCTATAGCCCAGCTTTCTTCTCCTTCTTTTCCCACCGCTTTGGGGGCCACATGATCTCTCCATCTTGCCATATCATTGTGGCCAATATTTATCTGCTCTTGCCTCCCACTATGAACCCTGTTGTCTATGGGGTGAAAACCAAGCAGATAAGAGACTGCGTCGTAAGTATCTTTTCAGGCTCTAAGGGTACTAAATCCCATGGAACATGAGAGGACATTTCTAATGAGAGAGAAGAGCTGTTTGTACTCATGAGCTGATAAAGTCTTTTGGGAAGCACTATTCTGGCCACTGAAATGGTGGCCAGAATGCTGAATGGTGCATTTCTAAAGCCATGTCTTGAAAACCTCAACTGACCTGCTAACCAACCTTTCTATGATTTTTTTTCCTTCTCATTCCTCTGATGGATTAGTCTAACAGTCCACATTTCCTAGAAGAAAACCTAATTAGTCCATTTTTCAGTAAAAAATGAATTAAGTGAAAGGAGAAGATTTTATTTCCAAATAGTGATTATAATTTTCAGACTGAGAGCCAGCTGTTACTACACCCCGGAAAGTATGTGCTATATATTTTTAACCACTACTAAAATATCTTTTTTCAGCTTGACTTATTCCTGAAAAGAAGCTAGGGAGTACCATATGAAGTTGTTAAAGAAGTGAATTTTAAGTCTGTGGGCATCTTAGAAAATATTATTAGGCTGAAAGGTCTCTCCCAGCCAGGCCTCAAATATTTCACTGCAAGTTACAGCGGGGCCTTTGACAGTGGGCCTTTGGAAGCAGACAATCGAGAGAGTGAGGTAGATAAATCTCTTAGCCAAATGTAAGAAACAGTAAAACTCTTTTTAAGAACAGCATGAAAAGGGGTCAAAATCAACTTGTTTCCTTTTATCTCCAATTGTGAATCTAATAAATAAAATTAAATATCTTTTTCTAATACTTTAGATTCTTCTAAGTCAAACAACTGAGAGATTCAAGGAAATACTACTTTTATGTTAACATGTGATCTAAGCCAACTATATAAAGAACACAGAATAAACTGAATTATCCTTCTCTCTGTCCAACTTAAAAGAACACATATTATTTCTCCCCAGTGCAGTTGATAATACCCATCGAATCACATTTAATTAGTCCTTCTTCACTACTTGATGTTTTAAAATCCTACAAAACATCTCTATCCCCTAAGATATAATTATATTCCGTGTATTATTTCTCTGTCCCACCTCAAAACTTCTAGAAGTGTTGGTCTGTAAACTGGCTTCTGTCTACAGTAGGCAGGGAGAGACTGAGGAAAGAGGCAGGCCACTCCCAAGTGGGTAGGTAGCAGGTTTAATAAGCAGGGAACTTATATATGAGCCTTGTCTTGGGTGGCTGCATTTCAAGGAGTTCTCTATATGCACCTGTCAGGATCTTAAAAGTTGTTATAGAGGCCTTAATTGGGTTCAGTCCCACATACTTGTCCAGATGGTCTCAACAATGCATTACAATCTCAAGGTTGTATCCTTGAGGTAGCTTGCAGTGTGGGAGAGGCTTTGGGAACATATTCCAAGGACAGGGCAAGGGGTGAGGAGACTGCAGTTGCCTGGGTCCAGCTCAGGGTCAACCAGTGGTTACGTGCTCTCAATGACTTCCTCCAGCAATAACTTGTCAACGTTCTTTGTCTTTACTGTCTCAACTTGAAATCACTTTTGTCTTTATGTGATCTTATTCATAACCTGAAATAAGACAATTTCACCAGTGACTTAGCAGATGCTCCTCATCCCTAAGAATCAGAGGAATGCAAATCAAAACCTCAATGAGATATCACTTCACATCCCATTAGGATGACAATTATAAAATCAAACAGTTATTGGTGAAGATGTGGAGAAGTGAGACCCACGTGCATGTCAATGGTAAAATTGTGTGGCTACTATGGAAAATAGTATGGAGATTCCTCAAAATATTAAAAATAGAAATACTATATGATCCAACAATCCCATTTCTGAGATTTTACCCAAAAGAACTGAAAATAGGATCTTAATAGGTACAGATACTCCCATGTTTATTGCAGCATTATTCATAATATCCAAGATGCAGATACAGCATAAATTCCAATGGATGGATGAATGGGTAAAGAAATGTGGTATATAAATATAATGGGATATTATTCAGGCATGTGCATAAGGACATTGTCATATAGCACAGCATGGATGGACCCTGAAGATCATATGCTGTTTAACCTGAAGATAAATAAACTGGTCACAGTAGGACAAATGCTGTATGATTTCAACTATATGAGGGGCTTACTGTAGTCTAATAGAAGCATAAAGTAGAATAACAGTTACCTTTATATATTATCATAATATATTGCAATAATATGTATATTATTATATATTATAAAACTATGCATTGCTAATGAAAAAAATTACTCCAATTAAATGGACAGACATAAAATGCTAATGATTGCAAAGATATCAGTTCTCCCCAAACTGATACACAAATATAATGCAAATCTTATACAAAATTTCAGCAAGACTTTATGTTGACATAAACAAGGTTATTCTGAAATTTTTGAGAACATCAAAGGAACTAGAATAGCCAAAACAATTGACAACATCATAAAATGAAGAGAGAGTCTTCATGATTTCAATACTTATAACTACAGGTATTGGCAGAAAATAGGCACACAGATCAATAGAACAAAATAGGGAACCCAGAAATAGACCCCCACAAATATGTCCAGATAATTATTGCAAATATGTTAAAGCAATTCATTTAGGGAAACAGTCTTTCAAAAAAGTCTGCTGGAATAGGTGAGCATCTATAAGCAAAAAAAAACAAAACAATCTCTTGACTTAAATTTCCTGATTGTACCTTGTGCAAAAATCTCACTGATAAAGACATACAAATGGCTGATACATTAAAAATGTTCAACATCATCAGCCATATGCAAAAACAAATTAAAATCAGAATAGAATATTACCATACAGCCATGACAATGGATAAAAGAAAACCCAGTGACATGAAATTCTGATAAGGATATGGAGAAACTGAATCATTAGTAAACAGTTGGTGGGAATGTAAAATTGCACAGCTACTCTGGTAAATATTTTGGCAGTTTCTTAAAAACACAGACCTATCATACAGTTTAGCAGTTACACTCCTGGGCATTCGTCCCAGAATAATGAATATTTATGTTCCACAAAAACCAGTGAGTGACGAGAATGAAAATGGAAAAGTGAAGATGTTAAAAAGTTGTCCATAATAAAAGCAATGGATAAGCTGGAAAAAAAACTCAGAATCAACTTTCTTCAAACTCCTGCTTCTAATCAAAACCTAGCAGCTATTAGCGGGATCCTTAACCAAAAAAAAAATAGCTTATTCTCAGTAAGAAAGCTTTGTGTCATTTTGTAAAACATTGATAAGTCAAATAACATAATTTACGACTTTGATCATTTTATCTACATTTGATCTAAATTTCAGTGGCTTTTAGTACATTTATAATGGTGTGCCACTATCACCACTGTCTAATTTCAGAACATCTTAATCATCCACCCAAAAGCTTATACATTTTTTATTCATTTTGTTATCATTAATCTAAAATTACATGAAGAATATTATGTTTACTAGATTCCCCCCTTCACCAAGTCCCCCCCACAAACCCCATTACAGTCACTGTCCATCAGCGTAGTAAGATGCTGTAGAATCATTACTTGTCTTCTCTGTGTTGCACATCCCTCCCTATGTCCTCCCCCCACATTATACATGCTAATCATAAGGCCCCCTTTCTTTTTCCCCGCTCTTCTCCCTCCCTTCCTACCCATCCTCCTCAGTCCCTTTCCCTTTGGTAACTGTTAGTCCATTCTTGGGTTCTGTGAGTCTGCTGCTGTTTCGTTCCTTCAGTTTTTCTTTGTTCTTCTACTCCACATCTGAGTGAAATCATTTGGTATTTGTCTTTCTCTGCTTGGCTTATTTCACTGAGCATAATACCCTCTAGCTCCATCCATGTTGTTGCAAATGGTAGGTTTGTATTCTTCTTAAGGCTGAATAATATTCCATTGTGTATATGTACCACATCTTCTAAATCCATTCATCTACTGATGGACACTTAGGTTGCTTCCATTTCTTGGCTATTGTAAATAGTGCTGCGATCAACATAGGGGTGCATCTGTCTTTTTCAAACTGGGCTGCTGTATTCTTAGGGTAAATTCCCAGAAGTGGAATTCCTGGGCCAAATGGTATTTCTATTTTGAGCTTTCTGAGGACCCTCCATACTATTTCCACAATGGTTGAACTAATTTACATTCCCACCAGCAGTGTAGTAGGGTTCCCCTTTCTCCACAACCTCGCCAACATTTGTTGTTGTTTGTCTTTTGGATGGTGGTGATCCTTACTGGTGTGAGGCGATATCTCATTGTGGTTTTAATTAGCATTTCTCTGATGACTAGCAATGTAGAGCATCTTTTTATGTGTCTGTTGACCAATTAAATTTCTTCTTTGGAGAAATGTTCAGCTCCTCTGACCATTTTTTAATTGGATTATTTGCTTTATGTTTGTTGAGGTGTGTGAGCTCTTTATATATTTTGGATGTTAACCCTTTATTGGATCTGTCATTTATGAATATATTCTCCCATACTGTAGGGTACCTTTCTGTTCTATTGTTGGTGTCCTTTGCTGTACAGAAGCTTTTCAGCTTGATATAGTCCCACTTGTTCATTTTTGCTTTTGTTTCCCTTGCCCGGGGAGATATGGTCATGAAGAAGTTGCTCATGTTTATGTCAAGAGATTTTCACCTATGCTTTTTTCTAAGAGTTTAATGTTTTTCATGACTTACATTCAGGTCTTTGGTACATTTTTTTTTTTTT